GGCGTTTAACCAATTGCCTTAGAGGGACAGCTCAAGCTTTATTGTATAGTATAATTACCTTTATCAGGCTAGCTGAATATTATCCATAAAGCTGAGGCGTTTAACCAATTGCTCTAGAGGGACAACTCAGGCTTTATTGTATATATATAATATTATAATTTGGGTATACGAATCCAATTTCTTAAGTTTGTTAAGAAGAATCTGTTATAGTCTAGGTGTTTTTGAAAAGTCAAGGAATCTCATCTTTAGAGTTCAATTTCCAAGCAACTGACCTAAACTAGATTTACCTACTCGACTATTCCATCTGTGAAGATCATGATCATCACTGAACGTTTTAAATAAAAAGCATAGTGTTGAGTTAATCGATTGACGGATTTGGCCAAGAGGGGGTGAATTGGCAATTAAAAATTTGGTGGAAGCTTTTACAGAAAATTGAAAGTAATTGCACAGCGATTCAGAGTGGTTCGACTTTCTCAATCAAAGTCTACATCCACTACCTTAGCTATCCACACTAAGGATTTTCCAACAAATTCACGAATTTGTTCTTTCTTTTAAGGCCAAAGAGATAACCTTACAATACCCTCAAGAATATACCCCAATTCTTGAGAACACTCTTTCCCAAAGAGAAGATTACAAATTTGCAAACTTACATTAACAACAAAATACATTATAATTTAGAAACATTAAAGTTATGTATAAACAGTCTTCACCATATTGTTCACTACAATTTAGTCTTCAATGCTCCTTCGTGGGGAACAGACGTAGGAAAGTTGTTTTCCTTGTTTGATGACGCATCGTTAAGTTTTTCCTTCGTGTAAACTCTATATGGAGAAACTCTTCATCCATTTCACCAAATAAATCTCCTACCTCCGGTTCACCAAGAAGACTCCTTGCACGCTTCAGTGCTTCACTTGAAACAGATAACGACCCTCCACCTACAGTATGAAACTTGATTGGTGGTGGCTTGGGAACTGAATCAAATATTAAAATAAATTTAAATAGATGATATAAATGTTTACTTGGAGTAAAAGTAGAGGCAACATCGTGTTCATTGAGGATCGATACTACTTTTTCAATTGAAGATTCTTTTAACGCCACAGAGTTACCAAATTTGGTTCTAAACATCGAGTATTTATTCATTCCTCTATCATCGTTCTCAATAAGCTTCAAATATTCTACATGCGTACGATCTATGAAATTTGAGTGAGCATACAAAAAGGGAAATATATCAGCAGAAAGATTCATAGATTATTACCTTCAAGTAGGAGATCGGCCATGGAAGGGTATTGAGAAATAGGACTTCCTTTCGAGTCATCATCGAGTTGCGATAGCGAGACCAGACCGATAGCCTCCCAACGATAATTTGATCCATCGTCAGAGCAAATACGCCACGTAGACATTTTGACGATAATTACTCTTACTCAATACAACACTAACTCTTTTTTTCTCAAATACGTAAGTTTTTTGGGTTTTCCCCATTTTCAGAAAACCAACAAAAACAAAAATGAAAAAGATCATTAGTGATAATAGGGATCAAACCGTGGAATTATGTTATAGTTTGTCGGTGAGAGGGCCGATTTGGTCACCGGGACAGACAAACGATGACGTCACTTGGAATCCTATGACGGTCGTTGTTGTTCCAAAGAAGAAACTGTGAGGGAAGAAGAGTTGAAATGATTTTAAGGTTCAGGTAGGAGAAAATAGAGGACAATATATTAAACATTTTGCGGCGTTTTAAAAAAATGCCACTATATCACATGTTTTTTGGGGCGTTTATACAAAAAATGCCACTATTGATCAACATTATTGTGGTGTTTGTCAAAAAATTATGCTAAAGTATTATTTATTGTGGCGTTTTAGATATAAACACCTCTAATTTATCACTCTATTACGGCGTTTGTGGTATAAACGCCACTAATTTACAAATCTATTGCGGCGTTTGTGGTATAAACGCCGCTAAATGTATACTCTATTGCGGCGTGTTCATTATAAACATCGCTATTTATTAAAACTTCTATGGCATTTATTTAAAAACGACGCAAACCTAATCTTAATTGCGGTGTTTGTTGTAGAAACACCACTATGTACCACCCTATGGCAGCGTTTTGGGTAAAAACGCTGCAATATTTCTACTCTATTGCAGCGTTTGCACAAAAAACGTTGCTAAAGTCTAAATTTATGGCGTTTGGATTGAAAATGATGCTATATGTTTAACTTTTGTGGCGTTTACTCTCCAAACGCCGCTAAAAATGCCACTACATAACACTTTTGCTGTAGTGAAGTTGCGATTTGAACAATAAGTTTAGAAAATCACCATAAATTATACAGAAGTAATTAGAGGAAGATATCTATTCCGTTATATTTTTATGTCAGTCTAGTTTCGTTTAAAATAAACATCCACTAATTTCAAGGAGTATACAAAAAGATGTGAATTTTTATCGAGAATAGGTCAGAAAACAAGGCAACAGATTCTGCTTAAAACAGTTTATGTAAGTCAACTTTGAAAATTCGTTATAAATTGTACAAATTGAACTAAAAGAATTGCCTTATATGGTTAGATTCGTATTCGAGTATAGTTTCCAGAGGTACAAACAGAATAATTTTTAAGTATTTAGATTAATACATAATAATACTTCTTTGAAGGTTGTGCAAACTGTCAGAGTATGAAATTTCAATAAATTTTCTAGTCGAAGTAATCGAAAGCAAAGGATTAAACCTAAAGCTTAGCAAGGCTTATATTTTGATTTATAAAGTGTCAAAGTGGGTATAGTTTATTTATTTAATTATTTTGAACGATGACGACTTGCGATAAGTCGACCTCATTATTTTTCAAGTATGTTTTCTACTTTAATTATGGATTATTTCCACAATGTTTACATAAATGTTTTATGGATGATTTAGGGTATGAACTGTCCACGTTCTATTTTGACGATGATAAAGTAAAAATGATTCTGAATTTGAAATAATGATTATGAAACGAATAAGATATGTTCTAAAAGCCCATTGTATGTTGCATTGAGAGTCGTATGTACAATCACTACAACAAATTTATCAATCTATGACGAAATCCATATATGACATTGTATATAACGTCACAAAATATATTATTAACGTGAAACTTTTTTGTTTTTGTCACATTTAGTGATTGGTGGCATATCTTTTATGACAATTTAAAAATTTGTCATTGATTTTTTTCATCATATGTTTGGAGCCAAAATTTGCCTCCAAAAAAATTTGCATGAAACTTTTCAATGATGTGTAGACAAAATAGTGACGTTGTAAAATCGTCTCCAATGAAAAGAAAGTATTAATGACAATTTATTATTATGACGATCCAATTTGAATTAATAACGTTTTAAATTTATCACTAATAAGTTTTATTTGTGACAATCTGATTCGTCATATTTTATAAAGCATAAAAGATGACATTTTAATAGTGTCACAAAAATAACTTTAACTTGATAAATGTAATTATTTGTCACTCATTTTTTTATCCTTGTCTTTTATATGAAGGTTTAAAAGACACCACGAGATTGTTTAACTTAATATTTGGCATAAAAAATTAATAGAAAAAAATTGAGGGAAAGGTATGCAGTGGGATCTTTGATGCACAACTAATTAAAAATCTTATTAGTTGTGATTTTTCAATTGTTTTTGGATTTTAAGTTGATATTATCAATCACTCCTATTAGTTCCGTCAAATATATGTGCCCTATATATTTTAGATGCCACAAATACAAATATCTTTTGTAGTGAATTGATATGTCATGAGGTGGAGTGATTATGATTATGATCTAGTACATTAGTGTACATTATATGTAGCACAGTTGGTGCAAATGATATGAATGCACTTGGAGTGCATGTTTTGATTACGATAATAGCACTGAAGTGCTTATTGTGCAGACTCGTCTAGCTCACGTACCTTGCATTCTCTTACCTATACATTGGGCTATAAAAGTAAATGTGAAAGCTATGACAAGTATATGAAGAAAAGAATATGAATTGTTTATGATATTTGATGTTGATTTACATGATTTTTGATAAAATCATAAGATGATGATTTTCAGGTTTTCAATAGGAAAACAACTTGAATAGCTCGATTTGAAAGTTTTAATGTGTTTGTCTTAAATTACAATGTTATGTTATTAATACTTTATGAAATTTAAGTATTATTTCACTTTAGCTTTATTACTGTCTCACTAAGTTTTATTTAGCGTGTGATGATTTTCATGTGTAGGTTCAGATAGAGAAATGAATGTGCAGTGAGGAGCCTCTTGAGCATCTTTTCAGAAAATCATACCTAATATCAAATTTAGTAAGACATCTTATCTTTAACTTATTAATGACATGTATATTATATATGTATATTGTTTTATCAGATTTGTCTTTAAATGGTTTCATAATTAAGCAGTGTTTAGGCAGTTATATATAATTTATGAAACAACACTAAACTGCCTAATTGTAGCATAGAATTTGATTCGTTTTGAACGTTCAAATATTATTTTATGATTTTACAAGATAACGAAAAAGTTTTAAAATTGATAAAGAAATGTTTTAAAAATGGAACAAAAATTTTAAGCGTCTATCATCAATAAATGTATGTAGTGTTGATCTAACATCTATAATTCGTATTTCGAGACATATACGGGTTAGGGGTGTTACAATATGTTAGTTCAAGCTTGTATATATATTAATTTCAACAATTTTAGTTTCTAAATAAATTCTGATGTAATCAATTTCAACATAAGGTTTTGCAGGGAAAGAAATTAACTGAAAATATCTTGCACAAGAGAGCTACCACATAATCAATATACATAGTTTTATCACTTAATTACTTGATAGTTTATACAGATACAAAGTCACACCATTAACGAAACAACATGAAACTAAGAGAACGCAAGACTAGCTTAGAACTCGAAGCATTTTACTACTACGATTTTGATAAGAGTCCTGATGAGCAAGCAGTAGAAACAAGAACTCATCGAACTGTGGTCCGAAACCTACTCGGCACTGACATCAACCGCCGATGGCTGATTAATCCAAACATGGTTACCTTGAGGAAACACATGACAAAGAGCGTCTCCATGCTTAATACCAAACTCACGGAAAGCGGAATGGTCAGAGCTCCAGCCTGAAATATCCATATGGCAAACAACAAGAGCATCCACTTTATCTCCAGTAATGTCACCATCTAGTTGGAGTTTGAACGTTTTGGTCTCGGTGACAACAAAGTGGCAGAAATAAACTGCATAAAGATATAGCTTTGGATGGAAAACCACTTTCTTTGGAGATTCGATCTCTCTAGGAGATTCTGAAACTGTGTAATTCTGGAAGATTGGGGTTGTTATTGTGGGGTGCCTTGTGCTTATGTACGTGAAATCAACCTCGGGTCCGAACGCACTGCTTAGAAAAACATGCAAAGATTCTAGAGAAGTAGCACAGAATTTGTCCTCATCTTCAGCTGCTTCAACTTCGTGTATCTTGAATGGCTTTGCCTTCTAAATCCTTCATTTGGTCACTTGTGTTTTTTGGAGAGAAAAGAGTTAACATATTTTCCTTCCAAATCCTTGATTTTGTAACCTGTAGTATAAGGGTAAAATTATAATTTGTTTCCAGACGTAAAATTAAAAATAAAAAGCTAGAAATCTTATCTTTTGCGATTAGTTTTAAACCACCATTTGCACCTCTCTCTCTCTATATATATATATATATTATTTTTTACATATTTGACATTAATGTTACTATTAAAACTATTTTTTTAGCTAAAATTGTTTTTAAAAAACTACATCAAACGAAACCTTATTATTGTCAAGAAAAATATGTGAAGATATGCATCATACACTTTAACATTCAGTGGAATGCTAAGGACGTTGCCAATATTAATTTCAATCTTATTAAAACTGATTTCATGATTAATCCAAATAAAGTCAGAAAGAAATATGATATTCGAATTTTATTGAGTGATTTTAGTGATTAAAATAAATGTTATTTTAAAAAAAAATTATTTTTAAAATTATTTTAGATTATTATATTTGATCCTGTAATGATACGACATGTAAACAAAGTACTATTGCTAATATCTGTGGTAGGCCAAAGCAGCAATCATATTGTCTGCTTCTGTTTCTGTATATTTAATGTCCTCATCCAAACCAGAACATAATTATTTAAAATTTACCGCTAAATTATTTTAGGTTTAGTATAATTAATATTTTATTTATAATTTATGAATTAAAATAAAAATACATTCTTTTATTAACGTGTTACATCATCAAACTAACAATATTCAATTTTCATTGATCATAATTTAATAAAACAATAATATAGGTGATTAAAATTTAATTTTTTTAAAATTTAACAAGCAAATGTGTACAAACATATCATTCTAATAGTTTATACTAATTATTTTGATGAGAAACACAATAGATTGTCTAATGATGGGTTCAATAAGCAGGTTCAAAAAATAATGTTAAAGATTTCGTGTTGAATGGATTTAATCAATTGCTTTAAAAATAAATAATAGTTATGTTGGATGGGTTTAATCAATCGGTTCAAAACATAAATATTAATCATATTGATTAGATTTAATCAGTCGGTTTTAAAAAATAAATATTAAAGATATCGATCCAGGGACCTTATGGCTTTTTTACTCAAACTAATCGACTTAGGGTCCTTATTGATGACATGAATATCATATTAACAATCAACGTGAATGAAATTCAAGAAGATGAAAAGTATCAATAATATAATATATAATAAGTAAGAGTGGTCGATATTGGCACGACTCAATCAGATTAAAAGACTAAATTATCGAGAGATTTAATCAGATTGAATCGTGCCAACATCGATCAAACCTTGGAACTCCAACCCTCCATTCCATCACCATGAAGCAGCAACGAGTTGTCGCCAAGGAATGTAGGTAAGAATGCAGGAATGAAGTGTGAATGGTGAGAATGTTGAAATTAATCTTAGGTTTATATAGGAAAAGAGTACTGAGCTGTCAGTGTATGTGTTAAAGAAATTTCATAATTTGGATCCAATCTATTACACCTAATTTGTTAAAAGATATGCTTAAATTAGCTGGAGGACCCTCATTTTGCATTAGAGTATTATTTTATTAAACGCCATAATTTGCTTTATTGGGTAATTAGCAACAAAAGCTGTTTTTTACCTTGCAATTTTAAGCCAGAGATTTAGCTTCTCCTTTTGCTACATAGCATTCAACCACATTTATATCCTTGCCCCTTGTTTTTAAAATCGGATAAATTGCTCTCACCAAAAAGTAAACAATTTAATCTACGTTATTTTCGAAAGGTAACTATTAAGAACATTTAATTAAGACTTTAACATTTTTCATCAATTTTATTTAATTTTAATTGACATAATAACAAATCTAGTTATCAATATTTACATTGTACATTAAAATTTGAATCCGACCCAAATCTAGAGAATCTATGTGTCACACAGAACCACCGAAGTGGCTAACCATTTCTTTTTAAAATCAATACTCATAACCATCTTTTAAAAGCCAATACTGAAAATACAATAAATAAATAAATAAATCATTTTTTATAAATCAGAGCTTCATGACACACAATTTAAGTCAAATATTACAACAAAAAGTTTACAAAACCAAATAAATAAGGGTCCTATGAATACACATGTCCACTAAAGTAACCATAAAATACTTTGTGAGGGGTGCTAGAAATACTGCAACGACGGTGCTCCTCGAACGGCTCAATGTACTCTTCCACGCTAGGCTATTGGGGTGGCTCTACGATTTAGGGTAGTATCTCACATGGTGCTCTAAGGATCTGACTTCAAAATACCACCTAGAGAGTCTAAAACATCTATTTCGCCTCTCTCTCTCCATAATGTTCACACTCCAGATGTTCCAACACTCTATCGGTACCTTCCGCGCTCGCCATAGGTGGTGAAGTTAGCGATCTCCAATGAGACCCTACTTCAAACCTCAACTCGATTGGTGCGACTTAACTGATGTCGTGTTCCTTTGCTAGTTATAATCTCTGGCGCTCTGGTCAATCGGCTGAGATAGGTCTACTGATATCGAAGTTCTCCTACTCAGCGCATCGATTTCGTCTACCAAACTCATCCTCGGGTTCTGCACATTCTCTATGGACTTAAGCCGCCAAGTTGACTCGAAGAATACTTTAGGTGTTTTTTCCATCACTACGTATGAATACCTATGTGAAGTCATCTTGAGGGACGTATTGCACCTCAATGACTGAATAACATCCAGTTTCGAAACATATAGATTCAACCAAAGAAAATGTAACATCCTCAATACCGGGTTTGTGACTAAATTGTAAAACTTCAGAATTTGGTGATTAAAGTTGAATAATTGAATAGTTCAAGGAATTATTGGGAAATATTTTATGAAGGATTGTTAGTAATTATTAAATAAATTAAAGGACAAAATGGTCATTTGACCACTAAGATATTTTTTATGGGTTATATATGTTACATGTGGGTTGGGGAAGGAGATATCAAAGTCTCCAGAGTTTTCTTCTTTCTTCTCCCAGTTGTGAATCCCAACTAGCTAAGGTAAGTTTTCTGGTTAGTTGATTATTTGTTGATTTTAAGAGTGGGTTTTGATCCTGAGGTGATACTTAAGCTTAAGGAAAGCTTAAGTTGTCTTAAAATTAAAAGAGGAAGAAGTTATGAAAGATTAAATATAAAAGGTTTCTAAATGAATTTCTGAAAAAGAGTTGATAAAGGAACTTTTAGATGGAATTTGACTTGTCATCAACTTAATTAAGAGACATGAAGTGATAGAATTGAATTTAGAACATATTGAAAAATTGGTATGATTATTGATTTCCATATGGTGGATAGGATTTTGAGGTTTAAGATATGATGAATGGGTATTAATGAGTTTAAGTATGTGTATGTGAGTTAAGAATATGATAGGGGATGAAACATGAAGTGTTTAAGTGGATTTGAGGTGATTTTCGTGCTTAAAATTGATTTCTGGGCAAGGGTGTATCGATACACATTTAATAGGTACCGATACATCAAGAGTAAAATCTGAGAAAACGTTCAAAGTGTACCGATACATTAAGGAGTATATTGATACCCCCTTGAATGGGAAAACTTTCGAATATAATTTGTGTATCGATACATAGGTAGTGTATCGATACACATGTTAAGGAATGTACCGATACACTATAGTGTGTACCGATATACTTATAAAGGAAAATGGAAATAATCTTTCCTTTAGTCTATGAAATGAAAGATTAGAGTATACAAATGGAATACTGATATGTATACATGATTGTGTAGATATTGATCGAGAGCAATGTCCAAACAAGTGTACAAGTAATAGGCATCGAGAAAAGAAAGGATAACGATATTGACTAGTGAGGCTAGGTGAGTGCACATTATTTAGTGTATGGTGTTCAATGGGAAATAAGACTTACGATAAGTCTATTTCCAATAGTAAAATGCATGAATTCATAGATAGAAGTATGTGTTTATCGTGATTTATATGTGTGCATTAGTGTATGTGTTAACATGTTATTATGTATGTTACGTGATTTGTATAAGTATATGTTAGTATGATAAGTCATGTGAAACAATACAAATGATTTATATGATTATATAATAATATGAAATAAGCTATGTGATAAAGACAGAAGGAATGAAATGAACATGCGACATAAGCTACAAGTTAAAGAATCATTGATATATATGTGAACATAAGATAACCAAGTATAAGTCATATTATATGGTATAAGTGATTACATGAGAAAAGTTAGGAGACTCTATGAGGACAGTATATAAATTAGGGAATATAAACATAAATAATGATACATAAGCAATATAGGGAATATTTATATACTTAAAAGAAACTATGGTATAGGAGTATAAAGTGAAGAACTACAAAAAGTTATAAAAGAATATTGTAGAAGTCATGTGAAATTGAACTAAATAAATAGATTAAACTAATATATAAATGATTTATGTGAGTGAAAGGGGAAGTGAGCTAAAATGAGTAGAAATTACTTATAGGATAGAATGAGACTATTTGAACATGTAGTATAAACTTTATAAGGAAGACTTAGGTAAATCATTATATGATTAAAGTATATGGCATTATTATGCAAATTACATTAAAGAGTATACATGATATATAAGAAAGAGAAAGTATATGTAATATGTGACAATAAGATATGAACTATATTAAAATATTATATGAGTTATATGAAAAATATGATTCAAAGTTATGTGATTTCATTATCAAAATAAATAAGTTATGCGATGTGAATGATATGATAAAAGCTATGAGTATATGAGATATGACTATGTGAATATGTGAAACGATAAAAGAGAATACCCATGTTAAGTGTTATGAGAGCTAGAGGTATAGTTGGCATGCCAAGAGTTGAGGGTTACCTATATCTTTTG